ATCATATAATCTAGTTCCTGGCGGTTTCAAACACCTCCCCCATCCATCTGGAGGTCAGTTCCTACACGGCCCTGCTGGCCGCCGCGAACGCAGGCAGCCCCGGATTGCCTGTGTGTTTACCACATGCAGATGGCTGTGGAAAATCACCATGATCCATGGATAAATCATCTCCAAATGCACCATGTTGCCAAGTGGATCCAGAGTCTCCAGAGGGCATGTAAATATTCGTTTGCTGAGGCAACACTTTTGCAAGATGGGATCTCCTTACTATCCTTACAGCCTTACAGCCCTTTTCCTTAAACCAACCCCCTTGGTTTACTCTGGCGCAGATGTGGCAGAAGAATTGCTGCAGCAGATGTTGGACGAAAATCTCAGGCGCTCAGAATTCCACCGTTGTGCTGTCGCTTCACTGGTCTTGGAAATGAAATTGTCCTGATCGTACATTTCAAAATGTTGATTATGGTGATTATGCCCCCAGCCTTTGATTGGTATTGATTGCATTTCGAATATTGGATTTGATTTTGAAGGATATGTGATATGTGTCAGATTCTCTTGCCTTTGCAAATCCGCCCGCACCGAAGGTGCCGAGGCGTTTTTTGTTGGCACGCATTATCCGTAAGCAATTGCAATAGCTATTAAGCTTTAGCTTGGGGGGGGGGGGCATTTTTGCTCTAGAATTGTGTGTTTTTCCACGTTTTTGAGAAGGTCGTGAAATCGGCTAAATTGCCAAAATTGGGCTCAACATGGCCCAACATGGGCCCAACATAGGCCCAAAATGCGCCCAACATGGGCCCAACATGGGCTAACTTGTCAACTTCGGGCTCAACATGGGCGCAACATGGGCCCAACATGGGCCCAACATACGCCCAACACGCGCCCAAGATGGGCCCAACATGGCTCAACATGCGTCAACATACGCTCAACATGGGCACAACATGCTTCAACATGGGCCCAGCATGGGCTTGCATGGCCCCACATGGCCGCAACTTATGCCCAACATGGGCGCAACATAGGCCCAACATGGGCGTCATAGGTACAATATAGCCCAAGAGACACATACACTTTCTTGGAGCTAATACTCCGGCGCGGGTGGTTGTCGTCGCGAAGCGACCAGAATAACATGTAGGGGGCTCCATAAATGGGGTACCCCAATAGCTGGATGGTTTACTGGAAAATCCGAAACAAAAATGGATAAAAATGGTCGATTTAGGGCTATCCCTATTGCATCCTATTGCAGGAAACCTCCTTGTTGCCAGTATCAGCCAGTGCGAAGGCCAAGCAAGAGAACCTACAGGACCTTGGTCCAGGCAGCCCATTGGAGCGTCCATGCCGCCCATGGCAATTCTTGGAGCATTTGGGAAACATCACCTATACCATCCTAGAAACAGGTGTTCTATGTTTTGGTGGCCGGTATAGTTTAAATCTGATGTCATCGTTTGGAAGTCCGTTGTTCCTACCATATTTATCAGTGTTTAATATTTATATATGATATATGATCACTTCAAGTAAATGAAGTACCGGTTCAAGTCCCATGGACCCCACATCGATCCACATGGCCTAGCAGCTTGGCAACTCCAACGCAGGTGATGGCCAAGTCCTCCAACGTGGCACGAGCCGCTGGAGGGCCCAGAGTGCTATTGGATTTGGGATTTGTTAATTGGCTATGGGTCAAAATAGGGTACCCCCTACATTCACACCATTTTAATAGGGATTATTAGGGATTATCATCATCAACCATTGGTTGGGAGGTACCCCTAGCGATTGACCCATAGCCAATTGAGTTGATTGGATTCTACACCCATCTGTTCCATGTTGAAGCAGTTTGAGCCCCCTTTTTTGAAGCATAACTGTTGCTGTGCCCCCTGTACCAAACTGGTCCGCCGGTCCGCTGGTAGTTAACTCATGTTTTCACGAGGTACAGTGGTTGGAGCTCTCCCAAGACGGGACGGCACCTCCTTCAGAGGCCGGAGAAAATTAGCGGATTGTGGCTGTGGATTTGGTTTAGTCCATGTTCAATGATGCCGTAGGAAATATGATAAGCCAAAAAGATATTGAAGCCAATTGATTACAGGCATCAATAATGTCCTTGTATGTAACATTGTGTAAGATCATGTGTGATAGTTTTTTCTTGCTGGTTTCAGATGTTTCGAGTATAAAGTGACTTTGAAGGAGCTAACTTTGTCTACTGAACATAGCTACAGGCAAATGACAAAGTGGCCTCTTGCTTTCCTAAGATTGAGGAATTTAGTTGCGAGAGAGCAAATCTGGAAAGTCACCTCTTTTCTTCTTTCCGCAAGCTGAATGCAGCGCTTGCATGCGGACGACTACTGTAAGGGATGACTTCCTAAATGCTGCATTTACATGGGGGAGTGCACAAAAGGTACGCAGAGGGAAGACTTTGTCCTCTTTCTGTGTGGAAGCCATGGCCCATTTACTTTGATGATGTTCCCATGAATTACACATTAAACATGGTGATCTTCCAGCGATTGTCCATGAAATTTCAGTAAACCAGCATTGAATCCTAGCTGGTTGGTGCTTTGGAACATGAATTTTATTTTTCCATATATTGGGAATAATCATCCCAACTGACTGTAATATTTTTCAGAGGGGTAGGCATACCACCAACCAGCTGGAACATTCCCCGGGATCCACCGGGTGGCATCGAAAGACGGGCCTTTGGCGCACGAGAGAGACATATCAGCTGTGTTGCTTGGGATAATTATGCAAATAAACATGTACAATAACTGTGTAATATATATATGTGTATCTTATTATCTTTATGTAAGTATGAAATTATATATTGATTTAATTTGATTTATATATACATATGTATATATACCTATACATTTTTTGATATATATATACATATATATATACATATATATATACATATATATATATATACATATATATATACATATATATATACCAATTTTGATATATCATAAATACATTACATGTAATGATGTAGTTATATTCGTAGATACATATCTACATGTAGAAACCATCCAGTTGATCTCTATGCAGGCCAACTACAACGCAGTCATAGGAGCCTTGGTGTCTTGGCAGACAAAGCGGACGGGTTTAAATCCGCAGTGGATCTGTGAAGTGTGTGGCAAACCCAACAATATGGGTATATATGGATATACTAATTGTGATTACATATTGTTATATATGGGTGAAAATTGTGGTCATACCGTGTTATATATATATATGGATCTGTAGACCCAATTGGGTTTTTTGTTGGGTATATATGGGTATAGAATGGTAATTAGTATACGTGACATTATATGTGTATAGCCCTATTTACGGGATGATCTATTTTGACCTGGTTTGATTTTTATCAGGATCATGTTCTCCCCAAGTATGGTGTTGTGTGGAGTTCTGTTCTGAATTTTTTGGCGGCATTTGGTGCGAGAAAGATCCAGGAAGTCTATCAGCATGAGGTGCAAAGGGATGGTCAAATAGCTATGGGATCACCTGGTAGATTGAAATGTCGGAGAAATCACGATCAACCATCATCAAATCATATTAGATCATTAAATTGATATATATATATATACAGATTTCATCATAGATTTCAATGGTTTCAGGACGTCATGAAACCTGAAAAGATGTCCTGACTTGTCCTGACTCTTCCCGAATGGATGAACTCCTTGGTGGCAAGGCTGGCGCGAAGCGCTGGGGGGAAGTGGAGGAGCTTCTGCGCAGCGGAATGATGAGGTGGTTTATGGGGGGGAATGGGGGCAGATATATTGAAACCATCACAGAACATCATCTTTGGGATTTTTAAGGTGTTGATGCATATATATATATATCCACATGATTGATGTTCAAAAGCCTAATTGGTTACCTAATTAAGGTGACTCGAGCATCATACTTAATGCTTTATATATATAAAATATACCTGGAAAACAGTATGAACATGGTTTTTGTTCATTATGGGTTTTACCCGTAATGGACGTTTTTTGTTCAATTGCGTATTCTGACGTATTCTAGTTTTTGATTGTGAAGGGTTGTTCAAATCCTTTGACAACACCGGGTTCGGACATCCTCCGACAGTCTCAAAAAGAGGACCTAAATGGAGCAAGTTGGGAGTCGTGACCGGGTACCCAAATCTGGCCACAAATACTGCCATATTTCCCACCAAATTTGGATGTACCTGTAAAATACTATATAGTAGTTTTTCAACATCATGTTGGAAAAAAGCAGTAGACAAATGTCAACATACTGCCCCAAATACTGTCTCCGGACGAGACACTCATACTGTCGGAACCAGTCCGACAAATCCAAGATTTCAGGAAAACTATTGACCTGTAAGTAGAGGGTTTGCAGCCAGACATGGCCGTATTTGGGAAAAAAACGTAACGGACTAAAAAAATGTTCAAACCCGTATGGACAGAAAATTTCGTCTTTATGGCTTTCCAGGTATATACATATACATGAAAAGTATGGGAATATCGTTGATGCCTGATAAGGGTGATGACTAGTTCGGAGATTTTACCAGCCAATCAATCTCTTGGGCATGATCGGTAAGATCATGTTTTGGATCGTTCTTGATCAACTAGGATTGAATGAAATGACAGGGAGTTTTGAACACTAAGGAGTTTGGGAGAAATAAACATCAAAACCATCAGAAAATGGGAGATCAGCATAACAATTTCGTGGTGATTGTCCAGTAATCCGATTGGTTTTTGCAAGCCCGCGGCCACTTTTTTTGGGGGTCAGGAATCATTGCCCTGCTGACCGAGGCCAGACATTTTCACATACAACAACATTCTGGCGAAATGTGCTAGGACTGCCCCAGAGAATTCCTTGCGAAACTGCTTCAAAGAGGGTTGCACTGCGTTGCAAAGCCTGCGAACTGGACCTTGTAGGAGTGCTGATGAGGAAGGTCAGATTCTTAGACCCGTTAGTGCTGAGTGGCAGCTGTGGCAGACCTATGAATCCTGATGGCTGACACCGCTTTGTTCTTAGGTGTGACCTTCTGGCTCGAGCGCATGAAGCAAGCAGGCTGGATAATCGCATGTGGTTTTGCAGCTTATCCCATGTGTACCCATTTACAACTGCCATCAATGGCTACTAATGGGTACAAATGGGATGATCAGTGGTACTAATGGGAACACTTGATGCTACTGATTTGCAGCTGGTGTTTCAATGGCTACTAATCAGTGGTACTGATACTGGTCCCTTACAGTACCATGCCCTGCCGAGGCCTCTCGCTGGATCTAGTGGCGTTCAACACCTTAGTGGACTTTCATGCGCGTCAAGGGAGGGCTCGGGCCACCTGGATATGGCTGGATGTCTCCACTGTCAAAAAAGATCTATTTGCTGAGAATCTTCTGGGAAAATTGGATTACTCCTGGTTTAGAACTTGTCAATCCGTTTCAAAACGCTTCAAAACGTTTCAATGATGTCCAAAGCCTTTCGCAAGATGAGAGCTGCCGAGACGCAGTTGAGCTGCTCTTTATATGAGATCGAGCCCAGGTCAAGACGGCCTTCCAGTGGATTGAACGTTTAAAGGAATCAGGCTGCGGGATTGGGCGCAACTGATGCAGCGCTGTGAAGTTTGGTGAAAGCGGAGATCTTGGATGATTTGGGCCAGTGGGGATGTTCCATGAAAGCTGAGCCACCTGGAGGTTTTAGTCCAAATATTCTCTCGTACAGCCCAGTGGCACCGCACTTAGGTGGATGTGGATTGGAGCGCAGAACACACATTAACTAGTTACAGTTCGTCACTAGTCTGGATGTGGGTGCCAGAATCACAAATTGGCGCATATTTCCATTGCTGTTTGCGCCAGTATGCCCCACTCTTAGTAGTAGTCCTGTCTCCCAACACCAAACACTCAGCAAATGGTCCCAAATATATCCAAATATGTGTAAATCCCCTACTAAACATTACTAAACCAGGGTTTCTTGTGTGTATGTGGGGTTGAAAGGATTATTGCTTATATTGGTTCACAGGTGGTCACCTATCATCAGTCATCTATTGGTTGGAGGACCATTCCCCCTTAGAGTGTCAGTTTTCCAGCCGACTGACCAGAAGCAGTTACCAGGTGACTCAAGAAGATATCAATTTCCTCAAACTGTATATGTAAATTATATATATTATACATGTGTGTGTAGAAAGCTTTATACAGTGTATATGTAAATTATATATATATATGCAGCATTCTATTACATTAATCATACCTTATAAGACATCATGATACACTATGGACCATTGTTTTGTGCGATGACCCAAGTATTCCATGGTTTTCCTCGGGCCAAGGTGTTAGCCTTGGCTCGTGCCGGTGACACTGGGGGTGCGGCAAAGTGTTTGAGGCAGCCAAGAGTCTCTGAGGGATGTGTCACTGGAAGATGTTGAGAAGATGTTTTTGTTGAAGACTTGGATTCACGTTGAATGGGATCTTTATCATTCTTTAATGACTTTGAGTTGGATATGTGGTTTAATATGTTCCATATGTTCCATTACAGTGATTGTTGAGGATTGTGGAACTATAAGCACTATTGTTCCATTTCAGGATTATGATATTGTGGAACTATGATTACCAAAAAAAAAATACAGGATTATAACTACCCTCTGGGTAATTTAACATAGCCATTGAAATTGCCATTTATAGTGAGTTTGTCCATTAAAACTAGTACTTTTCCATGCTGTTTCCATAGTTATATTATATAATATTAGTTTACCAGAGGGTACTACATATATATATAGAGAGAGAGAGTTCCATTTCTTGTTACTCATGGGCAGAAATTTTGGATGAAGTCAGGACCATGATTGGCGATGAGGTCATGCACTTGGGGCCAAGATGGCTGGGGGGTGGCTGACAAAAAGTAAGTGGCCGAAGAACAGGGGGACGACGAAGGTTTGAAAATGTACACAGATGCACAAAAAATTGATCTCAATTGTATCTAGATCATCTTATATCTATATGCTATTGATCAACTGTCATAATTTGTCGATGTTTTCTAAACAAAGATATTGAAAGATGGTGAGTTGTCAGCAGATCCCCCTTTGGATGCCCAGGTGATGCCAAACGCCGTGCTCTTTTCTGCGGTGCTTCATTGCTACGCCGGAAGTCCTGGACATCGAGACTGTGGCTGACACATTGAGTGGTAGAAACTCGGGTTGTTGTGGTTTCAAAAACCCATATTGTAGTGGTTTAATGGTGATTTAATGGTGGGAATATGATGGGAATATGGTGGGAACTAATGATCTGGTTGGTGGTGTGGAACAATTTTTATTTTTCCATATATTGGGAATAATCATCCCAATTGACGAACTCATATTTTTCAGAGGGGTAGGTATACCAGCAACCAGCATATTCATTGAATTCATTGGGCTATAGAAAAAATGGAAAAAAAAGGCATAGAGCCACTCTTGAGCGGAAAAAACACGCCGGCTGCTAGTCTGGTGCACGCACTGTGTGGAACCCCACAATCGTTGGATCACCATCCCCCCAGTCCACCCCTCGTCTTGAACGTGGCCAAGGTAGGACAGGGCGATGTGGCTGGCGCAGATGCCATGCTCTCCAGGTGTGATGGTCTCCATGGCCGATCTGGGTTGAAAACTTAGGATCCCCAATTTATGACCATATGAAAATGGATGAAAATGGAGGATAGCCTGCTGGACTCGCAAAAAAATTGGGGAAAGTGATGATGTAAAAAAATGTGAAAAATAGATCAATTGGATTTTGATGGATTTTAGAGATACATGCTGTACCCTCCTGTTTAGACAAAGCGTGTCAACCCGATCGCCAGGCTGGTGGCTGAGGATGTTGAATTGGATCCTCGTACCTTTGATATGATCATTCGACTTTGCAATCGTCAAGGCTTGTTGCGATGGGAGATACTCTGGTTGGGATGGTTGGGATGGGCCAGCTGGCGGAAAAAGTATAATCTTGCTTTACACAAGTGATTAAATTCATGTTGTGAATTCATGTTGTCAAACCTTAATTGTGAATAATTCATGTGTGTCATACTCCAACCCCCTTCTTTTTTTGTTGACTTTCGCATTCCGCGACATTTAGCGCTCATTGGGCGCCTGGAGACGAGGAGCTTCGTACGCAGGTGGGACCAAGTGTTCGTGGGAGTCAGAACTGATATTGGTCAGACGGCAACGTTCGAATGGTTGGAATATGTTGGAATATGTTGGAATTATGGATGTCTGATGATTTCTGCATCTTTCTGCTGTGCCCGAAAGATTGCTAGAGCCTGACTCTGTCTGATTACCCCATTCGAAAAGGATCCAGTTCGAATTGCCAGGCGCCACTGATACCGGAGATGGCGGAAAAATTAGACTGCTTCGGCCCCTTGCTTCACAGACCAGGGATGCAGTTTCGAGGCGCGAAAACACATCTCAGGCAGCATAAGCGCGCAAAATGCTGCGGAGTTGCCAAGAAAAGTCTAGAACAGAAGCATCTCCACCGATGGTCGCTATGATACAGTACTACGCAGGTTGCTGGTTTGGAAACCGCATCATATTGTTTATCTATGTTTATCTTTAGTTTGTACATGTTTGAACCCAGCTCCAAATGTTGTATCTTTGTGGATAATATCTGCCGAGATCTGCCCTGCGCAATTCGTAAACGGCTGAGGTCGCATCCATCAAGAGCTCATGGGGGAGCTGAGTCGAAGGGACCAAATCAGACTCTTTGTGCCTTGGCGCTTTGAAGAGCCAGCAAAAGGTCGATGAACGTCTCTGCATTATTCATCATTATTCTATACAATCATGATCAAGTATACGTATATGTAATAATATGTATGTAATGTAATGCAACGCAATGCAATGCACCGCAATGCAATGCAATGCAATGTAACGCAATGCAATGCAATGCAATGTACTGCAATGTACTGCAATGTATGTATGTATGTAGTGTAATGTAATGTAATGTACTGTACTGTACTGTACTGTACTGTAATGTAATGTAATGTACTGTACTGTACTGTACTGTAATGTAATGTAATGTAATGTAATGTAATGTATGTATGTATGTACGTGTACATATATATATATATATATGTTTATTTATCATTTGTTTATATGTTTATTTCTGAGGAAGAAAATCACACATACTGAGATGTGAAATGTGCCATGGTCGAAACTTGAGTAGATTTTAGCTATATTTGAGGATGGTCATCAATCAAATGATCAGGATTTATATGCCCATTAGGGGCCCCACCAATCCAACCCACGCCACTGAAAGGCCAAAGAGATGTCGGATGGGTTGCTTGATAGCATGGAAGATGCGGTCCTGACGGGGTAAACCTTGGTGGGAGTTTGTTTGTGCCATAGTAAAGTTAGTAAATATGTTTGGCCATAAATGAATTATTAAGATTATATATATATATACGTATATACATATACCTGTTTCATATGGTTTACTATACATGTATATGTATATATTATATGTCTTAGTATACATACATTTATATATGTGTGTATGTATATATATATATATATTCATGTGTAATATATATACATACATCAATATGTATGTATGTATATATGTATATATATATACACATATTACCGTGTGTTTGTTGCAGCGTATCAAAGATTGGCCCTCTACAAAGTAATTAAATTATAGTGTTCGTGAACTATGCCAAGTATTCTATTAGCCTCCACTGATTGAGGATGGTGCGGTCAAGGATGAGATATTTGTACCCAAGTGTCGAGAATTCTTTTCATGCCCTCTACAATACTGCAAGTAGAACATTGATCAATAAAGTTGCTCCAATCAATCTTCGCTCCCCATCCATTTGCTCAAGAATATTGCTTTTACTTGTACATGTCTCAACATATGTTTACCAGTCTAAACCCCCTAAACATGAAAAAAACAGAGATGAGATTTGTTAGGTTCTGGATGAAAACTGGAGACTACTGGGGACCCCTGGGGACTCCCCCCAACCGACCCTTTGGCTGTCCTAAATTGGGCACCACATCCTGAGGTACGAGAGAAGATCTCAGAGCAAGAGACTGAAGATTACGAAGTCTTTGCCGGTGCCTACCCGGGGCCTACCCGACCACCCGACCAGCTGCTGACCATCGACACACTTACTTGTACAGTCACACATGTTTGGCATGTTTGGGGTTGGAGCCAGTCTATCTGACTGTACATCTCACGGTGAGAATCCGACCAGAATAGACCACCCAACATGATCAAGGGTTTTCCAGGTTTTCCTAAGAATATGTTGAGGTATGAGTTTGCAATATGTGCATAAATCAATGGCAATCAAGCAATGAGCCTAAGACCTCCCCAAAAATGATAATAATGGTTGTCCAGATAGGTGGCTTGTTCTGCCGTCAGTACGCAGGGACTATCTGCAGCTCTCCAGAAACCCATGCGCAGATTCTACGCGCAAGGCAACGGTGTGGGCGAAGCGGAGCAGTGAATTTCTGGGCTGATGGATGTCATCCTCCCACAGCATGCCACAGCTACCAAGGATGGGTTGTTGATTTTGTCTGCTGACAGCCCCATCAAATCTTGAATCACTCTCAAGTCAGAAGACTTGGTTCACGTGAAGGTACTGTCCACTTGTAGAGCGACGTTTCTCCTGGAGGTATCAAGTATGCTGTCTAATTTCAAAGCCAAAAAGATTCAAAAACTACCAGGCCCCAACATGCACCCCAACCAGAGGGTTGGAAGACAAGGATTTCCCGTAGAAAAGCGTTGATTCACGTTAATTCAGCTTAATTCTCAGGTCTGCCTCAGTTGGGCAGGTAGGATCTCAAAGACTTTTCGCTCAAACTTGAGGCAACGAGAGCCGAAAGAGTTCAAACAACCCGCGAGCGATCACAGCTCCAGGTATGCTTCGGGAGACAGAGGATGCAACGAAACAGCCCACATTTTTTAGTCGGATCAATGGATACCAATTGTCCATGTAGGATCATTTAGCAGCTAAATTTAGCATCATCAAGCCAAGAAGAATTGTTCATTTCCTAGAGATGGGAGACACTCCTCTTGGATGAGTTTTGCACTTTTGAAAAGAATGGAAAACTAAAGTAAAGTAGAAGAGGTCATAAATGTGTCGGATAGTCTAGTTCCTTGGAAGCTGCAGGAAGCTGCTTTGAACGGGATGTGGTTTGTTCTATGTCACACGTGTCGTGTTTTTCTTTCAAATCATGAAGGCTCGCTGTCCTACAGAAATAATGAATGCTGAATCGTGCCGATGTCTGATCATGACCAGGAAGAATACGATCGAAACAGTGTCCCGTCAGCAAGCATGTGTTCATAATCAGGAGTCCGACCTGAGTCCGACCTCCAAAGCAGAAGTTTGCAAAAGGCAATTGCGGATAATTGCGGTGCGTAGCAATGGCTTTGGCCCTTTTGATTGCCAGAGTTCAAACAAAGTCCCGGAACTGAAAGTTGAATCATTACTGAAGCCCCAGAACTCAACTCTGGTCAACCCCATGTGTGTAATGTTTTCGTCCAAGAGAAGTTCCAGCAAGAGAAGCCAACTTCTCAGGAAGAAAGAAACCGTGCTTCCAGAGGCGAGACGGCAATAGTGAGTCATGAACTCTCTCATTGTTGATGTAATGGCTGTTTGTATATGATGGTGTCATCGTTGTTGATATTGTTTGTGTATGTTTTTGTTGCATGTTGTTAGTGTAAGTACTGGCTTCATGATCATGATCATGACGATGACGATGACGTTGACGATGGTTCCCATGCTGGGCAACGATGTTGGTGATCAACGCGTTGGTCTGGCAAGCACGAACGCATATGCCCTGATGAAAAGATGTGTCTTTTTTCATTTTTTCCCAATAAAAGTAATGCTCACAGTCGTCCTCCACCCATAGGGATTAACATATGTTAATATACCCATCAGATGAATATCTCCCATCATGATAGATGATGGTATACCCATTGGAAGGACTTGTTATGGTGGGATGATTAGACCCAGAGATTCAAGGTGCTGCTCCCTCCTGTTTGTTGGTGATGGTTCATAACCTCCATCAACCAGCGCGCTAGATCTACATATATAATCATTTAATCATATCTATAGTCCAGAATGTATAATATACAACACATTGTATATTATATATGGGATATGGTATATAATAAATGATGTACAATACATAATATAATAGTATATGATATATATATATAATCCATAGTACATAACACATATCTACCTGATGTAATATACTATCTATACTATATTACATGATGTAATATATAATGTATAATATATAACAGTATGTAACATATATAATACATTATATATATCATGTTTAATCTTTAAGTTTACAAGATATATGATATGCTCTTTGGTATTCATACGACGTAACCTATTCTATAATATATGATATATATATAATACTTGATAATATATGCTATTATGATATACATATATATATACTATAAGCTCAGCAGTTATCCGAGCATCTCCGAGCTTCAAACTCAGTTAGCTAACGACCTGGGGCAGCGCGGGCCACGGTTTTCACCGTAGGTGCCGGGTGCCGAGAATGCAGAGAATCCGGAGGAGGAGAGGCCTCTGGAGCAAGGACAGCACGAGATGGTGAGATGGTGGATATATGGAGGTTTCCTAAATATGTATATATATATGTATATATAGAGTACCCTAAAATGTGGCAAAATTGCTGGTAAGTGGATGTTTATTCCCTGCAATATGGTAATAAGTTTTGATCCTGAAATAGGGGTACCCCAAAATCAACGATTTCAGTTGGATTTTCCATTATAAATCCGTATAAAGCATCCAGCTATTGGGGTACCTGATTTTTTAAGGAAGACCCCATATGATTGATATATGGTTGATATGGTTGAGCCATAGCCTGGTTCATGTGGTTGGAACATGTTGGAACTAC